CGGGACGGGGCCGGGACGGCGCGGGGCATGCCGGGAGCGGGGGGCTGAGGGACGGCCGGGGGTCCCGTCCGGCGTCCCCCGCTCTTGCGCGGGGCGAGCTCCCCGCTTCCAGCCCTCCCGCTCCCCGCACCGCCACCGCTGGGCGCGGGGCGTGAGACTCCCGGGAGGCTGCGGGAAGGGGCCGTGAGGGGCTCGCTCGCTCTCTCGCTCGCTCTCTCGCCGCCCCCGCGCCTGTGAGGCGCTCCGCCTGAGGTGGCGGGTGCCGCGGGACCCCGCGAAGCACGGCGCGGCGCCCGCAGGCTGTGAACGGCGGGCGGGCCCGCCGCCGCCGCCGTTGCCTGGTTGCGGCAAGGCCCGGCCTTCCCCCTCCCCGCCGCTCCGCTCCGCTCCGTAGGTCGCCGCCGCCGCGCAGGGATGAAGGCCGCCGACTGGTGCCTGAGCTCGGCGGGGGCTGCCCTCGTCCTGGCCACCTCCAGCGACGAGCAGCACCCCGCCGAGAACGTAGCGGACGGGTGAGGAGGGCGCCGAGGGGCCGGCGGGGGGGGGTGCGCGGGCCCCGGCGGGAAGCGGCTCCCCCCCTTCCCCAGAGATCCCTCCCGGTGCTGCCGTTACCGCAGCCCGTCACCGCCGGGCTCTGTCCTTGGCCTTCCCTCATAATTTAACTCTTTTCTGGGCCCCCCGCCGTTCCTGAGCCCTTCTGTGGCACTGCTGGGCTGCAGAGCCTGAACGTTACAGTATTAATACCTCCACAGAGCTTCCCCGTTGTCGTACCGGGGTTTGCTTAAAATACCCCGAATAAAAATGGCTTTGCAGCTTTTGGGGGTTTTTTTTGTGTGTGTCATAAATTTCTTTCAAGACGATTATAGATGGAAAGCTGCGGGTGAGGGTTTTGTCCTGTTCTCTCCACAGAAGTTCGGAAACATTTTGGACGACAACCGGCATGTTCCCGCAGGAGTTCATTGTTGGTTTTCCTAAATGTGTAAAAATCAGCAAAGTCGCAATCCAGTGTTATTTGGGTAAGACCTCATGTACTGCAGTAGGTAATAGGCACTATGTTGAAATGTGTGTCAGTGTCTATATGTAAAGTATCACGGTAGTTGTCACACTCCCCAAGCAGTCACTTCTAACAGATATATAAAGCTTAATTTAATTCATAAAGCTTCATTTATCTTAACAAAGCAATGTCCAAACTTTTTCATAAATAAATGAGAAAAAGATGGAAAATCTATCCCACCTGCACTTACAACACCTTGTATTGAGCTTGTAATTAACTGTTCTATTGCACAGTGTGATGGCTGTTCTAATTTAATGGACAGGACTACAATACTTGCTCTTAATGATTTATTTTGAATATTGATTTTTATAATTTCGTAGGACAGAACTCTCTTAGTTTTACTTTTTAAAATAATGTAAAGGAAAATGCGAGTTCTAAAACAGAAGGGACTGTTACAAGGTCAGAGCATGGAGACAGGAGCTTGACCATTAGCAATGGCTACGCAAAAGACGTGAAAACTTGTCGTTGTTTGTCCAACTTGGAACATGAAGCTGGTGGCTGTATTATAGTCCTGCCCCATAAGTTAGAGGACAAATGGATTAGTTAATGCTTTTAAAGTGCTTTGTAGATGAAAAGTGATAGAATAAATATCATTATCAATAAAGAATCAGAATTTGTGTTGATGTTTTAAATGTATATATATTTTAGTGCGGACCTTAAGGATTGAAAGAAGTGTATCTAAAGACCCAGTAGGTTTTGAGCAGTGTATTGAAAAAGGTAAGATTCTTAATGTGAAGCAGCGGGGATTTTGTGGGAATAATATTGATCTTTTTCAGTGAGTCATTTTAACCCCATGTCTGTTTGTTGAGCAGTTAAGTGTGGCTTGATGATTACTTTATTAGACATTAATGTAATAGGCACATTTAAATGAAGTTTTTGACCACTGCTGGTCTCTGTAGCAGTTTGGAGATATAAAATGCTGTATAAGGGCTAAAAGCACTACTTGTGCATTTGCTTTAAAAACAGACTTAGATAGTATAATTGAGTACCATTTCATGCATTGGTTGGTTGGTTTGGTTTGGGTTTTGTTTGGTTTTTCTTAATGCCTCTTAGGTGACATTTTATAAGTGTAATGAGTGGGATATATATACACTGGGATACTGCAAAAAGTATTTTTTCTCTTAAATCACCTTGTAAAAACAAAACAATTTCTGTATGCAGTGAAAGTTCACAGTCCTTGGAACTCTCTTGAAGTCCAGTGAAAACCTTGCACAGCATTGCACATTATTCTTCACTATTTGCTTTAAAATGTATTTTCTAGATTTGCAACACACAGAAGGACAGCTTCAAATGGAAGAATTTCCAGTGAGTATTTACAGTGTACATCAGTAGTGGTTCATGAAATGGGTTGTCTAGGGTAACTGGGAGAAACCATGAAAAACCAAAACATGTTCATTTACAATTATTGCTAAGTTGATGTTAGATACAGGAATTTGTAGATCATGGTATGAAATTGCACTTCCCGACTGCTCCTTTGTAGATTATGGTATGAAATTGCACCTGCCTACTGCTCCTAAGTATGGGAAAGAGCTCTTTCCAGAAGTGTGGCAATCTTTCCTCCTTCAGTTGTTGCCTTTAAGGCTGCAGTATTTGGGAGGGATGGGACTTTTTTGAATTGCTGTCATCTAAATAAACTCTGAAGGTGGCTAGATGTATTAAAAGGGTTTGAGTTATGTGTAGTTCGAAAACAGACACAGAAATATCTAGATCCTTTTAACAAACTTCTGCAAATGTTGTTTGATAGCTACGTTACTACAGAGAATGCAATAACTTTTTTTTTTCCTTCTACAGCTTCCTGATTTCCAAGCCACTTACTTGCGTTTCATCATCAAATCTGCCTTTGATCATTTTGTGTCAGTGCACCGGGTGATGGCAGAGGGCACAGCAGAAGACACTTAAGTCCAGCTTAAATTTATACCTCAATTTTTTTTATAAAGAAGTTACATTTTGATATCTGTAGTGCAGAGAATATGTATTATTAAAATCGTGCATTAAAGTGTTTTTTGAAGGTATGTATTCCCCACCAGTTTAATGTATGTAATAGAATAGAATCATTTAGGTTGAAAAAGACTTTTAAGATCACCGAGTCGAACCGCAGTGCAGTACTCGATAATTGTAGTAACAGCTTTCTAGTTTTATAACCTAGACTGTTACCCTAGAACACCTGAACATAACTGAGTCCATTTAAATTAATATGTTTACATCAGGCTTTCTTAATACATGAATTAAAACTCGATTTCCTGTAAAATGTTTCCCTTGCACTCTGAGTTAAATAGAAAAACAAGCGTGACATACTTAAATGGGAGGTATTACTTCCTACTGTCAAACAAGTCCTTCAAAAGTTCTTAAACTGGTAACTTTCTCATCAGCTCAAACTGTTCCAAGATTAATAGGATGAATATAAATGTCTACTAATGCTTAGAAATAACCCAGGGGGAGAGGGGCAGGGTGGGGAGGGAAATAATCTGAAGCCATATTGAAGTGCTCTGATGGATTTTTAATAATTGCAGATCAATCCCTTGTTTCTATAAATATTTTCTACAATCAGGTCACGGCCGTCTGTGCTTTATGCTATGACTGTCATAACAAATATTAATAGAAACAAATGCTGATAGAGATTGTCTTATTCAGAAGCCTTCTGAAGTCAGTGAAAGTGAACATTTAGGAAAATGGTATGTATACAACAGAAAGGGAATCTTAATAATGTGAAATCAGTTGTTTTGTATGCCAGTCGACTTTTGCAACTGTCACCAACCGTGATGTTTATCCTGCACAATATTCCTTACAAATGTAAACATTGGTATCCAGTCCTGACAGCTCAATGAACCCAACTACTGTTCATTACTCCATGTGGTATAAGCATAGTAAGGTACTACACTGCAGTAGTTGGGGTTGTAGTGATGAGACTTGAAAACCTCTAGACAAACACATAATGGACCACATTACACGTGCTCTTTAGATGTACATACAGTAGTCTTGTTGTCTCTATTGTTATTTTTAAATTCTTTTTTTTTCTTCTTCTATCTGTGAAAACTTATTCATTGAGCTTTTTTATCCAGATAGCTTTTACTCTGAAGTCCTCTGCTCTTCTATTTCATTTTTTCCAGGATGGCGCGTATTTCCTGGGGGTGATAATTCCAAGGCCCCACTCCTCCCTGCAAAGGCAATAAAATTATACAGTGATGCTCAAGTAGACAAAGCAGAAGTCCTTTAGAGCACAGCAGTTGCACCAGAACTGTGGGCAGGTGTGCTTGGGCTTCCCTCACATGCCAGACATCGCGTGGGAGATGGTGTATGCACAGGTTACACCCTGCTGTGTAACTGGGACAGGGCCAACGGCTGGATCCTGGAGCTGGATGTACAGCTTAGATGTACCTAGGCTTCCTAATGAGCCAAAAGATAAATATTTAAGCAAGACTGAGGTGTACATCAAATATGTACATTGTGAAGGCCCAGACTGGTTTTGCTGCAAGTCCTTTTTTCTCCACAGTTGCAGTGAATTGTGAAATTCTTAGCTCTCAAACAGAATGAAATACTGACTCTTAAATGTAAAGCATTCTCAAATTATTTTGAAATTTAAAAATCTCAATATATTGTGCTCATTATTATTGTTGATATTACCTTGTAGATGACCTTCCCTCCTTGAAGTAGATACAGTCGTTCTGGCAATGCAGCATATTTTGAACTGCTCTGGTTTTCCATAGTGTCTAAAACCACTGGACATAAAGGATTATTTTTCTGAAGAAATTGTGCTGCAATTTTTCGATCTTCAAGGCTTCTGTGATTTTTAATAACAATATTGTTTTTAAAAGCCCATCCATCTAAAACAAATGAGAAAGGGGTTTAGCAAGGAACATTTTGAATAGATGTTAAGCGTGGAGATGTACTGTGTGTCATATCGCAAAACTGTGTTAAAAGAATGCTGCATTTTACTCCTAACACCAAAACTTGCCGTGAAATGAAAGCCTCCCCCTCAGAGTATGCGAGCGCTAAAGCTTTTAAAATAAATGGTCCGAAGATTTTTTTTTTTCTTTTTCTTTAATTTCAGCAAAATATATTTTCTCCTTGCCCTGGATTTGGAAATATTTGATGTAGTTTAGCTGAAATTTTCCCACATAAATCAGCCCTAGAAAGGTGTCAGGTGGGGGACATACCCTATTTGGGTAAGGTTTGTCAAAATTATTTGCACAGAGGGAATTTTAAAATGGCAAATAGCGCTGTCAGCTGATAACCTTTCATTTAGCAGTCAGAATGATAGTACTGTTCATTCTGTGTGATTCTACTCATTAAGCCTATAAAACAAAATTTCATAGCTGTGAGAAGTGAAACATTTGAGCCAGGGCACACCTTCCTTTTTCAGAAATATGCAAACACACATTTGCACACAACTCTTCCTAGTAAAGCAGAAACTAGTAAAAGGTTTTGATGGTTGACTTAGCTGTTATCTGTTTCTGAACTACTGAAAGTGATGTATGGTTAGAAAACTTGAAAACTGTAAATGTTACATTTTAGAAAACCACCTTAACCCTGGGATAAGATCAGTGCCAATGTGTTGCTTAGAGCCCAGTGTAGACAGAAGAGTGTGTATAGTTTGCTAAATTTTTCAAATCAGAGTCTGCATCCTGTTCTTGAGACATGTTAAAAATGAGTTATTTTTTTTTAAAAAACATGTAACATGCTGGTGTTGTACACTTAACCTTTGTTATATGAAGTGCTTTTTTTTTTTCCTTCCAAAAGGAGCTGTACTAACGTTGAGAGGAAGTTTTATAAAGATGTAACTGTGTGCTTCACCTTCACAGAGATGAGTGTCTTCAGCAGGAGTACCTTGGTATAAAGTCAGATGTGTGAGTAACATCTTCAGAGAATTAGGGATGCAAGCTGGTGCCTAGATTTGGTGTTGCCACTTTTGATTTGAGGAAGATTTCCTTCCCTGTTTGCAGCTCCCTCCTTTGCTAACGTACTTCTTTTCCTAAAGGGAGTGATACCTGTCTGAAGTTTTGGTGGGCATTACTGTGATGTTTGTACTGTACCTACTGCGTGAGCTTCTTCGATGTAGATGATAAGGAAATCTGCTATAGAGCTGAAATCTTTGATGAGCTTGTTGAACTCATCAAATTTTAACATAAACGAAGGTCAGGTGCAGCTTCCAAAATTCAGGATTAAAGGTCGGTTATCTGGAAAAAAATGGGACAGTTTGTGGTGAAATCAGTGGTGGGAGAAAGGACAGAATTAAATACATGCACTGAATTGAGCCTCTGCCACAGAGTTTCCTGGGCAACAGTAGGTAAGTCGCTTATCCTGTAACTTTCTTGTTAGGACATTAAAATTGGCAGTAGAACATCTGCATCTATGCAAAACAGGCATAAAGATGCTTTCTTGTCCCCGGCCTGCCTCTGACCTGTGCTGGACCCAGCAGTGAGCTTAACTGGGGGGACCCTTTCCTTTGTAAAGCCCAGTAAAGGCCAGAGGCACCATGCAGTCACGCAGCTTCTCTCGCGTCCCCGTGACGAGAGCCAATTCTCTCAATTACCAACATTTTGGGATAGGGAACTGGTCTAAAATGGATATATACAGCGTGTAGCACATCACAGCCTCCCCAAGATCCTTAGTGCGAAGGAACTTCAAAAATACTAAACATGATCATCTGCAAGGTTTTTCAGAGGACACTGGTTCGGGGATGGACATCAAGCACAGAGTCCTAATGCCTTTTAATGAACCTATTGGACATATCTTGATTTTTTTCCAGAGGTGTCAGTTCGAGCTGAGCTGAGTGGAAGCTGCAGACTTTTCAGTCATGCATCACAGGCTTTCATGCTTTCAATGTATTTCTGCAATTTCCTGTCCAAACAGAACTCTGGTTATATATTATTATTTATTAAACTAACGTTACACAAGCCACTGGCAAAAGTATCCGTGCAGTTGCTTACAAATTAACACAGTATGTGCCCACAGGTGTTAGCATCTGTTTGCAAGGCCTCAATTTAAGAGAACTTGCAGGATTTTTAAGCACCTCTTTTAGTCTATGGTTTTGCTAAATTATCTGAAATCTTTTCAAGATCTTCCTTCTGGCTGTGCTTAACTTCAGAACCTGCTGCTAACATAGATCCACATCCTAAAGAATCTAATAAAGGGGGTACCTTCCTGTAGGTATTGTGTACCTCTTTTCCAAATTTGCATCCTAGTTTCTACATAAATATATATATATATGTATGTATATAATTAGGAAAGCAGAGTTAGAGAAGGGTGTAATCCCTTCCCTGGGGATCGAGACTGCAGCTTAATGATTAATTCCACGTTCTATAGATATATGTGCGGGAGGCAGTGGGCAAAGTACAAAGCAGTTACTTTTTCCTCTGCTTTATTTCTAGCCACTTTGAATCTGGAAAAAAAACAGCGTGTGCTTTCTAGGCTTTAGGCTAGTGAAGGGAGCTGGTGTGGGACTTTCTGTACGTACAGGGAATGACAGCCAACACTTGTGAATCACTACACACGGTTCCGATTCTGGGTCTTCTCTCCCCTAAACCAAATTATTATTTTGGCTTTCAGTGAAAGGGTATTTCCAGGCAGAGCCAGCTTTTGCAAGAGGTTCGTAAGCTTACTGGTGTGAGGGGATATTGGAGCCAGGATGATAAACACAGGTTATTTTTGAAAATCAAGAGGCAGACAGCTGGCGTGAACGTGCTGCATCGTTTCCACCAAGCGACTGCTGTTAGTCTGGTCTGCCATGTCGTGCGCTCTCGTGCCAGCTGCCTGTGCCTGCTCCCTCAGCAGCCCCTTCTCCTCGTTTATCGTCTTAGCGAGCCAAACCCACCTACATGGCTGATTTACTGACCTTGCATGAAATCAAAGAGGTGACAAACTTCCCTGTTGAAAGTCACCACCGGTGTGTTGGGAGCAGGTTGTCCCTCATGGGCTTCGTCCTCCAGCCTCTTCCACTTCACCTTCAGCACAAAGAGCAAATACTTGAAGCTGAAAAAAGTCGGACCCCAGTTTTCGTAGCTGAATTTTGGAT